GGCTGGGAGTGTACCTGTGTTTGGATTTGAATGCCCCGCCGAGCTGACCAAGGAAGATGACGAGTACGAGGCATTCCGTAAACGAATGATGCTTGCCTACCGCTTCCGACCAAATCCATTGGTAAGGTGGTCCTGAACCCAGGGCAGGTGCGGTGACAAATCCACTGGGCCACCGTCTCTCGTACGGGTGGGGGTGTTTCTAGTGCTTGGCCAAGAGAGCGAACTGTCAAAGTTTCTCTTTGATTCTGTTCTCATGTTAAATCAAATTATCACTACCAACACATCCATGGATGCGCATATTTCCTTGCTGTGGGGTTTTTTTTTTTTTTAATACAACACCCCACCCCCCCTTTTTTTAATTTTATCTGGTACCTACAAAGTATAAACTCTGCGCACAAAGGAAGCGGATGGGTTGTCCCGGAATCCATGGTTTATTTCAAATAATTGTTTGCCTGGTTGCCTGTGAGTTTGTGTTTGCCTGCGTTACGCCCAGCATGCCAGCACACCTAGAAAGCTCCATTTGTAATTTTTGATGGGAAGCCTCAGGTTTCACTGTCAAAAATGTCACGTTTCAGTGGCTTATTCAGATAATTAAGCTCAGATGCTCATTGTTCTGTGAAGACAGCAATTTTGATTAACTTTCTCTTGTTATTCCCCACAGAACAATCCACGACGACCTTACTACTGAGAAATGTTTTTTTGGGACTATGTATTTTCAAAACAATTGTAATTTTACTGTGAAATGTTATGAAACCGCATTATCATTCTCTTATTTGCTAATATTGTAAAACTTACTGAAGTCACAAGACCATCTCTCGCCCAGAAGAAAGGCCCGCTCGCTGCACACTCGAGTGTCATGACAACCGTGTCGTAACAAGGCCAGGGTGGTACTGAGAGAGGAGAACAGAGCAGGTAAGAAGGGGATCTTCACACGGTGCCCTGCTGACAGTGGAAGGGTAGCACCACAGATGCCCCCAGGAATAGTTCAGGGACTCCGTTCGTATTTAGCTTGATTCCACGTTACAAGAAATGCATTTTTTTTTGTGTGTGTGTAACAGCAGATCCTCTGTTTGGATACGCAGCATGTGCTGCTCGGGAGGGATTTTTGGTTGGTTTCTTTTTTTTTTTTTTAATTGCAAATACAACAAGGGGACTGTCCCAGACCCAGCTTTGGGGGCCACTGTTCAGTCAGGCTACTGTTCCCTGAGGAGCTGGCTGCTGATGCTGTCGCGAAGCCCAGAGTACAGTCTGCCCTTCATCTGACACTGCGAACCCCGTGCCTCCTTGTTTTACCTCTGCCCTGGGGAAGGCGAGGCGCGGATCAGTGTGGGGCGTGGCTGCAAGGGTCGAGGGGTGCAGGGCGAATTCATTCAACTTTGGAGGCGACAGCCTTGTGGTTTCTTGAACACTAAGTTCACCCCCAGCTTCCCTGCGAAATGAGGGACTTGCTGACACCTTCTGTGGGTTGGGGTGATGAAGAACCAAGCCTTCAAACACCGCTGGTCAAAGGCCTTTTGGATTCTGTTGTCATAAGAAACCCCTCTACAAATACAAGTTTTCTTCATTCACTCTGTAAATAAAATAAAACCCATTTGTTCCTTAGTTTTAATCGGTGAATTTTTGGAAAGAGAGGTCTTACTGTGGGTTTGCATCGGCCGAGAGGCGGCTCTAGCTCTCTTTCCATCCCAGCATCTTAAAGGAAACAAAGTGAGGTGGGTTGGGTTGGTTTCTTTTGCATCTGTTTTCCCCCAGCCCGGACCCTTAGCGTGTGATTCTCTTTTGTTAACTTTTCTTAACAAGGTCGAGTCAAGGACTTGGCTTTCAATAAAAACATTTGAAACAGTAAATTCGGCAGGGGTTCGTTCTGAGAAAAAAATCCCTGAGCACCTTACGAACGCACGGAGCTGGGCTTGGTCCCGTGGTGTGCCAGCGTGTCCCCTACCCTCCCTGCAGCTTCCACATGGGGATGTTCCTCTCGGGATGGCTCATCAGCGTGGGCAGCAATCCTGGAAAATTGGGAAATCAAGATAAGAAAGCTGGCGGGTCAAGCTCCTGCTCAAATAATCAAGGTCACTGTGACAACTGCGCTGTCCCGGTGTGTTAGGACACCCAGCCCTTCGCTTTCCCCGGGCCCTGGCAGTGCCGCTCGCTCTCGGCTGCCGGCCGGCGGGAGCCTGAGCTGTTTGTCCTGAAATACCGGAGCGCTGCGGGGCTGAGGCTGGGCTGCCCATTGCCCTGCTGGGTTTTCTGTAGGAGTAGGGGCTCGCAGGGAGGCTGCTGGCAGAGCGGAGGCATTTTCAGTCTTTATTATTATTATTGTATTCTCAGCATATACAGCTTGATGCCCTGGTGCTGACAGTGACCCGGTCCCAGCGTGGCCTCCAAGGCAGGGTGAGCAAGCAGGCTTGCTGCTGGTGCTGGTTGGGTCTTTAAAGCTGCTCTGATACCGCTGCGCTTCATTACTGTTGTGTTGGCAAAAGTTGTTTTAGTCCTTTATTTCAACACAAGTGGCTTTGCTCTTCCCAAGCCCCTTCTCTTGATAAACGCGTTCATGAAGAGGGGCTTTTTTCCTGCTCTGTTTTCTCGTACGCTGTTGTAAGTCACGCACTCTTCCCCGTGCCCTGCCGCTGGGAGCAGCAGGCAGGGGTCAGCTCCGCAGAACCCCGGCGCGCCACTTAGCGCAGCCGTCCTCCTCACCGTCGTTAGCTACAAAGCGGGGATTTAGTTCTTCAGGAAACCAAATCAAACGGGCGGCTGCTGCGGCAGGCCAGCAAGGTCACCAAAGTTGGACTCTTCTTTAGATCAAAGAGTCGAGCCCCGGTGCCCGCTGTGCAAACGCCGTGCCAGCTGCCCAGCCGGCGTGAACAGACGTGCGACTGAGTGCGGCACGGGGGGGGGCACTGCGAAATCACCCGGCCGGGGAGAGGCAAAGGGGTTGGGGCTTGTCTGCCCCGGGAGCTGGGAGATGGAAGCGATGCTTGTAGAGGGCTCGGCGTTTGGGAAGATCTGGGGGTTATTGCTTCAAGTCCCCCCGGATCACCTGCTTTCACCACCCTTTTATTTTTGCAGGGTGTCATGCAGCTCTTCCCCGTACGAGCGGGGCTGGTGGGTGGTTTCTCAGCCACCCGTCCCCATCTCATTACTGAGCCCTGGAGCCCGAACCCCCCGTTGCCCTCAGCTGCGCTCCCTTTGCTGTAAGCTGAACGAGCCACCGCCTAACGAGCCTTTCCTCGCCCTAACTTGCCACTGCTGTGCTGACGAGGCACACGGGGTGCGTCCGAGTTCCTCCGGCACGGAGGAGCGACGAACAAGCCCGGGGCAAAGTGCGGGGCGGCCAATTCAGCTCCCGGACTCTGAAGCAAGAGGGCAAAAGAGTGGCGTGACGCAGCGGCAGGTTCGCCAAGGTTTGGTGAGGAGGGGGAACGGTTGAGTGGCCGCTGCTGAGTCCAGTGGAAGGTTGTAAGCGTGTGCCCGGTTCTGGACCGCTGAGCCAGGTCGCTCCCCGGCTGGTGGGGAGGTAAACGCTCGTGTTTTGAGCAGAAGGAGGAGGTCAGGGAGACTCTGGGCTCCCAGCTGGATGCAGAGACCTCGCAACTCCTGCTCTCTGCTTGGTTCAGTTCATTATTAAAGGCAGGGATGAAGTGTTGGCTTTCATGTGCTTCGCCCCTTCCCTCCCCCTCTTACAGATCTCAAGAGGTGTGTCCCCTTGGCTCTTTAAGTACTTAAAGGTTTCCATAATGAATTGAAAAAAAAAAAAAACCAAAACACAGTCCCTGAGCTTTTGAAGCCTCTTTGGAGTGGTTTTATCCTTCTCCGCAGCCCTCAGCGCCATTTCTCAAGGCAGCCCTCGAGCACAGGGACCCGTGTATGGAGGAGACACGGTTTGGCTGCTGCCTGCTTCCCCGCCGGGACCCCCCGGCCCTCCCCCCCCTGGGGGGGCCGGCCATGGCGCGACCGCCTTGGCAGAGTGAGTGCGGGCCTGGGACGAAGCTTGGGGGCCGGGATGCTGCGGTCTGGCTCGGGGCGGGGTGTTGGGTCCTGTCCTCCACTGGTCCTGGATGCTGGGTCCAGTCTGGGACTGGGCGGGAGCATCTGGACAGAGGCAGCACAAGGCTCTGTCCAAGGACGGTGGGAGCCAACCCCCTCGGGGTGGG